AAGATATTGTTTTTGACAGACCTTTCTTCCTCATATCTCTTTATCAATACTAAATCCCCTAAATGGGATCCCTATAGTTGCATCAACAGACCCAAGAATCCAAGATACAATTTTTGCATTGTCAATCTTCCATAGTCGCAATTCCTTCACCTGATCATCATTAGGTTTGGGCTATATCCTATCAATATGGCCCCAGAGACCTCTACCCTCAGCAACAAACTGAAAATAAAACCTTCGTTTTTTTTAATAAATAAAATGAAAAATGAAACCTCCATATTGGATAATTAGATCTATCTAATTTCACAAATATTGCAAAAAGTGAATCACCCTTCTCTATGATATCATTAGCTACTTTTTTAGAAATTTCAACATCATCTACACAAATTCAAATGTAAATCTGATATGGTTAAGATCAAACACACTCACACTAGTCCACCTTCCACAGGAAACAGCCCAATAAGATCCCCTACAAAAGCACAAATATTGAACCTAGAGATAAAAAATCGACACTCCCAGTCACTACTAGCAGAAAGCATAGGCTTAAGCTCAGGTTTCTGGTACTCAAAGTTGTATGCAGCAACAGTCATACAGAAGTAGCAGATTACAACTTGAGAGAACAAATTCTCAATTCAGCAATAGCTACAGTCCAAGAACAGAACCAATTAGGATAACCTACCTCATTGTATACCCAGGAGATCCAGATCATAGGAGTCTTTATAGAAACCAAAAACAAAATAATGTGGAATCTCTCCACAATCGCAAGTATAACTGACCCAATGAGAAAAAGAATCAAATAAGATCTGTAACAGGGCTTTTTCCCAAGCCCGAACTATATTGTTATCCCTTTCCTCCTGATCGTACAGCTTTAGAGATACAAAATTTCAATTGAGCGCCTGGGATACTCTCTTGATGTCAAGAGGATGCTTTAAGTTTAAGCTTCCAAACCTGCTATGGTACCATGTCAGTCATGCAGGCTGTCAGAAAATTATAAGAAAGAGGGATTGGAAAGTGCGGCCTGTCTAAGATCGGTTTCAGTGCTCACAAGACCGTGCTCACACCGTTCGTGCAGCCTTTTACAGCCGTGCATTGGGAATATCTCCATACTATATTTTTTTTCATGGGGAGATATTCCCAATGTAAGGCTGCAAGGGACTGTGCGAATGGTGTGAGCATGGTCTTGTGAGGACAAAATCCAATTTCGGCCTGTCTAATTCAACTAACCCAAGAAAAAAAACAACACTTATATTAAACTCATGTAAATTTACATCAATACCCTTCTAGATGCAGCTCATATAAAGAACAATGATATGGTACAACTGATGTACATTAATATGGTATAGAAATATGGAAATGAAGTGCCATGGACATTGTTTTCTGGTTAGACATGCTAGAGCTTTGGGATCTAGTTTGAACTAAGGGTGATTATGGGTCAGGCCAGGCTGGCCTTTGGGCCTATGGCATCTAATAATAAAAATTTAAATACTTAGAAATTTTAAATTAAATAATGTAGATAATACATGAAAAAATATTACACAACGCCACAAGCCCAAGCTAGGCCAGGCTTGGCTAGGCTTTGGGCCGATAGCACAAAAATAAGGCATGGGCCTCATTAAATTTCTAGACTTGGCTTGACTTGGTTTTCCTATCCTTTTATAGATGGAGGCAAGACCTTCATTCCCATTCCTGAGCAATGTGAGACTTGGAACAACACTCGATAGTGATCCGTTGAGTATTGTCCCAAGTCCCACATTACTTAGGAACAGGAATGAAGGACTTGCCTAGGACTCTAGGAGGACAAGGCTCATATTTGAGTTGACTCGTGTGTTGACTCATGAATATGTATATGTTAAAAGTTTTATGTTTTATATAAAATAAAATATAATTGCACATATATAATATATAATATATTATAATATAAAAATATCACGTGTGTATAGGATTCCCAAGTCAGAAAATAACAGGCTGACTCCTTATCTCAAGAAAACTTTAATTTGGGGTAAACTAAGATTGAGGGAACCATTGTAGAGAAAGTGAGAAACCAATGCAGAAAGTGGAAAAGGAGGTGGTCAACTTTTTGCTGTTTTTTGTTGTACAGCATCTTGTGCAGTTCGGGATTTGTCCCCTTTATTTACAATGCTCAAGATGAAGCTATAAAATGTCTCACTTTAAGCTGGAATATGTTAGAAAGCAACAACTTGAAAACAACATAAAACTAATTATTTGACAGCTGACACCATTCTTCATCAAAACTTGGACAATTGCTTGATTATTGTTAGGGTACAAGGACCAAAAGAAGCAGAAGAGGAATGGATAACATATATGTCATTGGTAAGGGTGCAAGTCAGGCCTGGTTAGGTTGGGTTGAAGTCAAACCCTAGCCCAAGGCATATGCTAGAGGTGAGGCACTGCCAAAATGCCCTAAGGCATATGCTAGAGGTGTATGCCTCATGCACACCTCATACAAAAAGACAAAGAAAGAAAAGGTAAAAGGAAGGAAAGGAAAAGAAAGAGAAGAAAGAGAAGAAAAAAAAGTGAAAAGAAAGAAAAGAAAGGAAACAGAAGGGAAGGAAATAGAAGGGGAAAGAAAGTTTTGGCTGAGGGCTCCGCCCCCGAACCACCTTGGCTGGGGGAACCCCTCCCCCACCCTCCAAAACCCTTTTCAATGTAGCCCAATTTTGTTTTTTGTGCTGGGAGTCTTGTCGGCCAGTGTTATGCATCTTAGTTCTTCTTGATATAAGACATCTTTCATAAAGAAGAAGGTTGGGATCCTCCTTCCTCTTCCACTACTTGCATTCTAAACCACGCCTCACACCTCCAGGTAGCAAAACACCTTGCATCATGCCTCCGCATTTTAAAACATTGGTTTCAAATAATTGAAGTCTATTATGAATTATGATAGACCTATCAAAAAATCAGTAATGGTAATATGGCACGAGGGTTAGGGCTTAAGAACTAAGATAAATGGATTATTATAATATGTAGCAGGACTATAATACATGTGTATATTAGTAATAGTAGAGACTGGTTTGGCTTGCCTGAGGAGTCAACCCTAAACCAACCTGAATTGGAGTTGGTTGGCAAAAGTCAACCTTGACCCTAACCCAAATGTCAACTTGACCTGGGTTGGGTTTGGGCTAACCCAGTCCAAGTTGCAGACTCATTGGATCTATTTCATGTTATTCATCATGGTAGTTTATTATGAATCAAGGACAAATGCAATTGATAGGAAGTCCATTGTATCAGTTGTCATGAGAAGGCAATTACAGCAAAGAAGGCAACTTACCACTTACCTAGAAAGTCCTAGCTCTTGTACGCATCCTTGAAAGTGTCCACATTTGACTTCAAGATCTAGGTCATTACTACTTACCCAGAAAGTCATAACTCACCTTCTACCGAGCATAGAAATGGATGAAGAAAAGGAAATTCATTCAAATGGTTCTAAAAAGCTTTATGAATACTTCTTCCTGGAATTTCTACCACTTCCTGCACGATAAAATTCACAAGAAAAGAGGATGGCATTGATGGATACCCTAGGTCTTGACAACCTCTGTATGTGAGGCCATAAGGATCTCCTGTATGGCTAGTTTTCAGAATCTTCACTAAAGGAAGCCATAGGAGAGCTGGAGAATCACTAATAATGTATGGGAATGTGTGATAAAAAGGGTTTTGATGGCAGGTTTATGGGTGTCAGTTTGGTGCCAAAAACAACAAGGTTTCAAAAGATTACCTCAGAGTTTCAGTAATCCTTCGAGCTTTCCATGTATCTAATTGATGAAAATTCCCCTCATCTGATTTTCCAGTAGATTCATTCACCTCTTTGCACTGATACCAATATATCCATTTCCATGCATTAAAGTAACTCTTACCCTCTTAGTCGAGTGGTGTTTAACAAAGTGGCAACTTTTTATGTAAGAAATTATCTGGCAAGATCATTCCATAAAGAATTAGTATAGCACATTGTACAGGTCTCCACTCTCTAGCAACTGCATTACCAACTCTTTTTCAATAGTTCAGTGGAGAAAGGAAAAAAATAGCAAAGAAAGCCCATTATTTTCACATAAAAAATTGAACCGTTTATCAAAATGTAAAATCTTCCATTTTAATGACTTCTACATATTTCTTCAATAAATAGCATTTTCTCTCATTGCAAGGAATAACATTTCCCTACTTATTCGGAAAGTACAACCAACCTAATCTTAGTATAAAGAAACAAGGTCAGGGAGATCAGTAGCACAGTTTAGAGCACTTACAGATCACCACCACAAACAAGTATCAAAACCAACCGACCAGCTGGAGAAGTGGCAATTGCACCATGACCACATATAACTTCATCCTTCTAATAGTAGTTAAAGGCATAGTTCAACAGGATGGGAGTAGCCAGGGTAATCCAGGACCTTCGGGTATAGGAGGGGTCCTAAGAAATAAGGACAGCAACATAATCTCCTTATTTTCAGGACCAGTGGGAGTGGGTAACTCTAGAAGAGCAGAGATACTAGCTTCCGTACAAGGGATTCAGATTTCAAACTAGCTTGGGGGGGCACTTATTAATTAAAGGTGATTAACAGGTGGTGGTGGGACCCCTGAACCCAGATTCTGCCATTTGGGGTTAGAGATCTCCCTAAAAATGTAAATTGGCTGACTAGCAACATGACAGTTAGTGTTCAGTGGGTGAGCAGATCGGCAAATGCTATAGCTGATTCATTAACCAAACAGGGGGCTTCTTGGGACTGTCTGTATTGGACAACCTTGTAACTTATTCAAATTAAATTTGAGAATCTATCTTTAGTTTTTCCGAAGAGGTTGCACCTCGGGTCTCTTCTTGGGATGCTTGTAACTCTTTACTTTCTGTGATTAATAAATTTCTTCATTCATAAAAAAAAAGACATAGTTCAACAGGATGCAGTGCAGAAAGAAGGGGGCTGATCCCTGTGACGACTCAACAATAAAAATGTTTTATATAAGCCAATAAGCCATGCCATACATCCAAGGCTGTCAAGAAATAGCTATAAAACGAATGATAAAAATTGATATTAAGATATCCAATTACAATAACCCCTTTAAGTAACTTGTTTCAACTACTTAACAGAAAAGGGATTAATATTCCTAGCCTTGTAAACATAGAACTGTATAAGAGATGCAGGGTTAGGGTAAATACATCAGTGGAGTAATTTCAGCTGGGAAAAGTTGAAGCTCAGGCAAACAAGTTACTCCACATGCAGAAATAATAGGTGAAGAGGGTTTGGCATATTTAAAATGATTATCTCCTTTTGCTGGTTCACTGTAGGCAAAAAAAGGTGAATCGTCTTCTGTTAACAATCATGTTAACTATCTAAAATTGGATAAAATAATGATTATACCATACTGATAGTGTAGTATGAACCATCTGAATGTAAGCTTAGATTCTCATTTTCTGGTAGACTTCACCCTCTTGAAAAATTTACGACCTTTCTTTCTCATTCCCGTCCCTGAAACACTTGATGAAAGAAGAGAACGGGAATCTGGTCTCCACTTCAACTTCTTAAGCACAGAAAACAAACTTGACAGTGCAGGAGTGACTTCATAGTCCTTTATATTGTTACATGAGACTACACTAAGCATTTTAAGCTCCTTCCAATAAAGAACTACAGACTCCAGACCATCTGTTGTTAGCAATGAACATCCTTCCAAAGATAGAGACTTTACCCTCCTGTGAAGAAAGTAATCAGGCAATCAAACCTTCAGTAGGTGAATCATTCTAAAGTAGAAAAACATAACCCCATAATAAAAAAATCCTGATCATTATATTAAATCGCAGTTTGTGCAATCAGCCATAGACAAAACACGCCTATAAATAAAAGAATAGGACCAATGGTGGAACCAGGAGATGTTTGTGAATTTCAAGACTTCTCCATTTGTTGCATTAAATGTAAAGTGTTCTCTATGGAGGCAATGAATAGTAAATCCTAAGTAAGGGTATGTGGCACAGCACAGTCTCCAATCAATGCGCTAAGAATAGTTCCCCCAACCTAAGGCTCTGGTGGAGCCCCAGGCCCAAACCAAATGCAAATTTTGTCTAATACAAGGTCCATGCAAGATATTTTTGGGTATTTTGTTTTCACCTACACGTTTATACACATATATAGGAGAGAAGCACAATTATTTGGGTGTTTACAGAAGAAGTTAGAGTTGTAATTCCAGTTGAGAATATGGTGAAATTTCATATAGGTTCAAGTATGGATGTAAGGATACTGCCAAACCGTGTTAAACCTTGTGCTCTGTGTCCAATTCTTTGCTTTGTTATCCATCTCCTGCTTGTCTTGTTTAAAAGTTAAAACAGTTCTGAGGTTGGAACTTAGAATTCTTTAAGTTGATTAGAAGGATAAATTTTTCTGATGATTATTTCAGTGAAGAGAAAATTTCTACCCTTCAAGTATGTCACTATGTCAATAGAAGTATAGCTGCTCAGTTCAGAGCTACTGAGTGCTATACAAGGGAAAGGACCAAAATGTGATTTTGATGGAAAACATGTCATTCTTCCTTGTCAGTCTCTAGGTTTAGCGTGACCAAGTGCATCTTCAAGGTGGCTTTGAAACAAAGTGTCAGTCATTGAACAAAGGAATATACGGAGTTACAGTCATGAAGCTACTAAAGATGTAAAAATAAACACACCATCATTTGAACTCCTTTTTCCTAACCATTATATATACAAAAAAAAAGAAGAAGAAAAAGTACTGCAGCGGATAAACAATAAGAATCAAATCTATATACAAAAACTGAAGATCCAACGGCATGCATGTTCTTGTACAACCATGGTTCACCAATCAAATATTTTTTTTTTTCTTTTGCAAATTCGATGTGTAAAAGTATAGGGCATATTGCAGTAGAAACTAGAAAGAACTGAACACATTAATCAGTACCTGCAAATGCTTGCAAAGTAGAACATCGCATTATCCAAGCCCCAACAGTCCTGAAACACGATCTCTCTGACACCCTGGCAAACGAAAAACAATGACTTAAGGCTTTTACGATCCCGGATTTGGCACCTCTGCAGGTGCAACCGTTCAAGGGTCTCGCAAGACCCCAAATACTCAGCCGGCCCGGGGTTCGAATCGATCTTCTTACATGATTGTAGCCTTAATGTCTTCAAATTTCTACAGAATGACAATCCTGCCATCCACCCTTTATCCATCCTGTGGTCGGACAGCGTGAGCTCCTCCAGCATGTCGCAGCATTGGCCAATGGCTTTGATCCCATCGTAACTCCCCTCACAACCGATCAGCTCAAGCTTCACCAGCCGCTTACACCCGTGCGCCAAGATCGTGAGACCGATATCAGAGACCACCGAACGGTAACAACCATACGCATTACCAATCAATTTCAAGATCTGGAGGTTCTGACAGGCGGCAATCCCACGCAACGAGAGATCCGTGCAGCGGTGCAGCTCCAATTCCTGCAAATTGGGGCACTCCTCGGCGATACTCGCCAACCCAATCTCAGTGGCACCGATTAGAACAAGCTTCCGAAGATTAGGGCATCCACGGGCAATAACTCGTAGTCCACGATCAATTGAAGCATGCGGGAGTAAATTCTCTTCGTCGATCAAGTTGAAGCCATTGGACGAGAAATCAGAATCAAGGTGAAACGAGACGAATTTATGGGTCAAAAATATGCCAGAATTCCTAGGTGCGTCAATACATGCCGGGACGAGATCAACATCGGTAAGATTGGGGAAACGAGAAACAAGGCGACCGGATTCGAGAAAATCCCAGTCGAAGAGCTTGAGGGAGCGAACAAGGCGGCCATGAAGAATTAGCCATCTCTTGCATACAAGAGAATTAGAGTTTCTCTGTGAGTCGGGAAGCTTAGAGAAGATTCGAAGGAGAAGCTCGTCGGATAACAGAGCGGTCAGATCGTTGGAAGCGCCAAAGTATCGACTTTTCTCCGGCCAGATTCTTGGTGACCTCTCGTCATAATCTTCTGCCGCGAAATCTGATGCAGAAGCTGAGCTTAGAGATCGAAAGTGCAGCGTACGAAGAAAACGTTTGATAGCTGGATCTTTGAACCAGAGCTCTGGCAAGCTTGGAGGTCTTCTCAATATCTTGCGTTTTCTCTTTGGTGTAAGTTGCATTGACGGTTAGCGTTTCGACTTTCGAGTCCAAGGTATGATTTGATGCCTCTCTCTCTGCTTCTACTTCTGCTTAACTGCATCGCCTCGATCCCTGTCGCTCTTCTTCTCGCTCCGTGTTTCTTCTGTTTTGCGTCTTCTCTCACTTTTCTCTTTCTCTATCTGGCTTTTTCTTAATTCTTATTAATATTAAGGGATCCTTAATTTTCTTTTTTTCATATATTTTTCTTTCTCTGGGATATATCTGAATCTGGATCTGATGGCTGATGCATAGTAACGTGGGTCCCTTGATTTTTGTATCATCTAATTGTTGTTACACATTCTAGAGCTTTTCATTTTGTTTTTTCTCTGCCATTCGAAATGGTCATTCAACCTGGGGCTTGGCCTTCGCGATTATTACGAAAATGCCAAGAACTTTGAATTTCTGTTGCATCGTATCGATGTAACAAACGCACTAACGCAGCATAAAACGATACGTCATAATCGAAATACATGATAATGCGAAGGTTTTGACCAATAAAAACGCCTAGCATTTCCATTTCCGATATCATGTCTTCGACATTTTTCGTAAATTACATATGACTAGTCTCACTCTAATACTCCAAACTCTTAAGGTGGCGTTGGAAAAGATATTAAAAATGTTTGAAATATGAAAAATTAAAAAGATATTAAAAGTGATTGAAATTTGAAAAGAGATATAATTGTTTTTTTTATTTTTATAGGTTCTGAATAAAGAAGATTGTTTGTATTGGATTAAATCTTTGACATTTGAAATTTACTAATTTTATTATTTTACCCTTAAATTAGACTATTCAATTGTAGCGGCGAGAGAAAAAGAATAAGAAAAGAGAGAGAGAAGGCGAGAATTCGTCGTCGCTAGTTCATCGAAGGAGTTGTAGCGATGAGAAGAAGAAGAGAGAAAGAGAGAGAGAAGGCCAGAACTTGTTGTTGCTAGTTTGCCGGAGGAGTCACTTGCTACCGTTAGTTCGTCGCTCTGTCAAGTGGAGAAGATGAACGATGAGATGGAGAAACGCAAGTAACATTTTCAAGGGTATTTTGGACTTTTGACTAGGTTTGAAATGCACTGAACGCATTTAGTGCCTGACCCATGTCTTATTATTTCAGATCTGAAAATAATTTTCAAACCCAAATTCAGATACACTTTAAAACACCTCTCACGTCTGAAAAACAACATTTTTAGACTTTAGAGGTCTAAAAAGTGTATCAATCACCACCTTATAATAATATCTAAATTTTTTGAAAATTGAATGTAATGTTAATTGAGGTTAGATGGCATGTGATATGGCTCGGGGTTGATCTGGTATGGCCTACGACCTGAACTAATGTGGGCCTATGCCATGTCGTGTTGTGTTGCAAGTCCGCAAGCCAAATCTTGGGTTAAGCCATATTTTCTAAAAATTTTGAAAAAAGTAATGAACCTGGGGCCAAGTTAAGTCAGTCAACCCTAATCCAACCTGAATTGTGGAACCCCCAATTCTAACCCTAACCTAACCTGAAAAGTTTTCAGAGTGGGCTGGGTTTAGGTTAGCTTGACTTCTCTACTTCCTTTGGACAAATGTTTCTATTTTCTAGACTCAAGGGTTGGGATAAATTTAATTTTAACATCATTTTTTGTAATATGACATACATACATACATAGACTCAAGGGGCCAAATCTTGGATACGCCCCTACCGGCATATCGGGCATATCGATATTTTGAACCTTGGTAAAGGTAAATTGGTCTCAAAAATATTAAAAAAAAAGGTAGTTTTGGAATTTTTAAAAAATTTAAGTTGTGCATGTCATAATGTGATGCAGATAATTGACAAACTACTAACGATAGGTACTAAATTGGCAATTTTCTAGAGTTCAAGTATTATAGTTGCATGTATTGAAGTTCAAATACTAAAGTGAGAATTGCCCCAAAGTACAGGGTACTAATATGCAATTCACCCTTTTTTTAAGTTTAATTAGTATTTGGCATGGGAGGTTAGGAGTTTGGTGGACAAACCTGAGAATTCTTGGGTTGGTTTAGCTCACAAGAATAAGGGTTTAGAATTGGAATTTTAATGGACCATTCCAATTCCAACCATTTGATTAAGAGAATTGGACCATTCCAATTCCAACCATTTGATTAAGAGAATTGGAACCCAATTCCCATTCCTAATGGAATGACATTCTCCCATTTGAGGGAATGGCCATTCCCTCCTCCCTTGGGAATGATAATCAATTTCAATTGATTCCAATTCTGATTCCCATTCCCATCTGAACCAAA